CTTCTTCTTGGTGAATTGGATGTCTTTAGTTCATATCGCCCCCTACTGTCCGGGAAACCACAAAGGCGTTTGGCAAGCAATCTGAATTTAATTTACAGTATTAGCCAAGCGTGCAAAAACACAAAACACTAAATTAGGGCATGTCTTGAAGAATTCAAGGGCAGCTGATCCACTGAGCTGGTGGAAATAACGAGCTTCCGTCTACTCCAGTTTGATCAAAGTAATGGAGAGTAGATTGCGCATTGTAGCAACATCTGTCCCGTCAGAGAGGGTGTTCTCAAAGACTGGACAAATTAAAGTATTCCAAGTTGAAGTATTGGCATGTCTGATTGTTGTTGGTTGAAGTTTAATTTTGTTACTTGTTTATTGTTTGGAGCCTTTTTAATGTTCAATAAAATAAGTAAAAAGTCATTTCTTTGCTTGATAATTTTTGCTATTTGCAGTCAGTAGAGTGCAATATTTAGTTCACCACGTCATTTATCAAAATGTATGCTAAATTTATCATAAATATTTAAAAGAAAAGCGGGAGTTAAAAGAGTCGTTTGAGAGCCAAAAAGAGCCGTCTCTTTTCACTGAGCCGATCCAAATGAACCGGATCACCGAAAATCCCATCACTAGCAGCAAAGTGCTCGCGAGAGGCCAAACGTCGGCGGGTTCGGCTTCGTGTGTCTCCGCCGCCCCCTGCTGGCCGGCCGAGGTCGAGGCGGCTCACGGCGCGACGTGCTGCGAGGCGAACCCGACGTCGCGATATGTCAAAGCGAACCTCGCGTCGCGAGTCTGCCAAAGAAATATTTCTCCTTTTTCGAGATTGTCCTCGTCAAGATTTCCCAAGAGAAAGCGCAACACTCGACGGGCAGCATTGCGGAGATGTTCAGCTACTGCCAACCGACCCAAAAGTACAATTTCACATCGGACACACCAAAAGGTCCACGAGGTGGAGGTGTCAGTCCAGCGCGCCTGCGTTTCATTGTCTTCGACTTTGATGGTCCAAAACTGTCCAATGCCTTGATGACGACTCAGCGAATGGGACGCAAAAGCAGGACAACCGGAAGCGATTCGGATCAAGTCTCGCACGTGTTCGTGAATCAACTTCTGATGCTCAAACATCATTGTGTTGATTCTCTTATGTGTCCATTTCAGATTCAGATTCATTTCATACATTTGATACAAAAAAAAAAAAAGATCTCAGGAGGAAGCCCAGGTTTCCACGCACTCCCGGCCCCCACAAGTCCATATTGATGGTGCTTAGATGCGATGAGTGACTGCCATTTTAGACTATATATCACCGCCTGTGTAAGCGGCAGTTCAGAACGTCTATCTTGATGAGAAGGGCTTTTAATTGGGAGCAGCAACAGCAGACTTCTTTTTGTCAATTGGGATGACCAATCTAATCTGAAGCGACCGTACCAAACAGTCACCAAAACAAACCGTGAGTGCAGCATCAACAGGATTTTCAGCTTCCTAAATTTTGTACCTTGGCCTTGTTTTTTGATGCTCATTCGCAGTCACCACTCAAAAGAAACGGAGTGGGGTTTCAAAATACGGGCACATTTCCAAACTTGAAATGGACAGAAAAGCAATAAATGGAATGTATGTGTGCTGAACGGGAAGACACCGAAATTCAAAGTTGGTGGCTCCCCCCACCAACTCGTACAACTGCGGTTGCAAATGATTGCATCGTTGCGTACAAACAAAAATAAACCAAAGAATCAACAGTAACATCCAAAAGCCATTTTATTCAATGGTTCAATTAAAAAAATAAAAATAAAACTCATCACAGAAATCTTAAAATGGTTACCGTGCCGATTCTAAGTTTGCATGCACATTTTCATCTGCCGCCCACTTCCTTCCGATAATCAGCGAGTCCCCCAAGTTACGTTTCGTCCTTTCAGCGCGGTGGGTTTGACATTACTCAAAACAGGTTCAAGTCACATCAACTCGGTAACATACAAGCCGACAACTTCGTGAACACAACAACAGCTAATATATAGGAGATTAGATATTCGAGAGTACTCCCCCCACCCCCCCAAAAAAACAAAAAAACCCAAAAAGGAGACCGAGGCAGGTCGACACCAGCCACACGCCAAGTATACAAAGGGAACAGCAAGAACAGATCTGGGACTGGAGCAGTACTCGCTCCGCCGCCGATGACAGAACAACTAGGAGACAAGACCAACTTGTAACCTGCTCAAATGATTGTCGAGTGTCGGAGCGGAAGCAAAAACAAAAGGTGGCTGCGACCTATCCGACTTGCGTGAGAAGCAGGGACAAGTTGCTGAAAAGGAAGATCCGGAGCTCTCCCGGCGCCGAGGAGAAGAGCGTCACGGTTCCCCAGCCAACCGTCACCCCGTGTCCTTTGGGGCCGGCGCCACCGCGCGTTGGGTGCGGCTGCATTTCTTGCGCCGAGCGGGAGCGGCGGGGCGGGGCCCGGAGCTCGGGTGGTGGAAGGACGAGGACGGAGAGAGCGGAGACGATGACGAGGAGGCGGGCGAAAGGGAGGTGGCGGAAGAGGACGACGATGACGACGAGGAGGAACAAGTGAGCTGAGCCGCGGCGGCGCCGGCGAGCGGGACGCCCCCGCTGCCCGAGCCTCTTCGGACGAGGCTCGGGTTCGCCGCCGGGTCGCCGCTAGCGAGGGACGCTGACCAGACTTTGCTAGACGAGGGGAGCAGACGACTCAGATTCAGAGAAGGGATGAGAGACTTGTGAGGAGGCAGAGCGCGGGGCAACCAGGAGGAACAATGCGGGGAGCCGGCCGAGTTTTTCCGCCCCGAGGAGCGGGAGGAAGGGGGAGGGCGGGGGCGCGCCTGCCTGGATTCTCCAGTGCAGGACGGAACGGACAAAGCGGAGGCGTTCGCGGAGCTTTTGGAAGGAGAAGACCAAAGAAGTGAGGGGGAGACGCTCTGGAGGCCGTCTGAGCAGCGAGGAGTGGAAAAAGAGGCGCAAGAGCGAGGCTGTCGCCCCAACTTAAGATGGCACAAGGCGGCCTGCGTCTGAGAGGGGCGCAAAGCAACGACTGAACGCGTACTCTCCCCGGCTGCTTTTGTGCCGCTCTTGTCAGCCTGCAAACAGGAAGACTGCAAGTCAACACCAGCGCAAAGGCCACACTCCAGGCCTGTCACATACCGTACGTCCTCTTTATCCTCTGCAGAGAATGACTCCATAAGGCTGCGCTATTGTCTGCCTGCCTTACGCTGCCCCCGGGTGGCCGAGGCGGGCGCACCAGAGAGAGCCGCGCGACCGAAACGCGGGAGAGCGACGGCAGAAGGAAGACTTCCGGCAAATCAAGAGAAACAAAAGGCGGACGGCGAATCGGGAAACTTACCGAGCCACTTCCGATGGCGCTGGGACCCTGCGGTCAACAGGAAACAATGCTTTGCCAGTCCGGTTCAACACCTGCTTCCTTGAATATTTGCCGTGCCATCTCGGCTGAAGCGGACGGGCAAATCGTTGTCTTCCGTTGAACGCGAGGTCCCAACGTCATCGGAATGGGCTTCGTACACAACGTTGACGAGCATCCCGAAAGGAATCTCCCGAAACGTCCTTTCAGGCAACATGTTCAATTGTTTTTGTTGCCGGGTGTACGGATTCATGACGGCCGATTCGATTCCCGGAAAACGGACGCATTTTCTCGTCCAACGGTGCTCATTGGAGCGATTCCCGTTCCAAATGTCTGGCGGGGCCGAATCTTTACCTGGCGCGGTCGTTCGGGGGAAGCCTCTTGCTGCCCTTTGGCGGTCTTTTCAGGTGAGCCGAAAGAGTGACGGAACCCGGTGTGAGTTCGCCGCGTACAAGCGCCGGAAGTCTGGACGGAGGATACGTCCACCCAAAAAACAAAAAAGGCGGACCTTTTAGGCGGCTCCAAACAACGTCATCAAAGAGGCAATCGAACGAGACGGGAAGTCGTGACATGAAAACCGTTTGGTCGTTTCCTTTCTTTTGCGGCAAGAGCCACTGGGAGTCTTATGGGGCACATTCGGGTGTCATTTTCGACGTTTGATCAACTCCAACATCAAAATGGGATGATGTTGTAAGGAACGGAAAGACATTTTCGACGAAGAAACGCATCAGCGTCAAAGTGTATAACTTGGTGAAAACGTCGGCTGCTCCGAGCCATGAAACTTCACTCACCCGGCCGTGCTCTGGACTTGATGTTTAAAATGTGGAAACTGAACCTCTCTCCATTGGTGACCGAGACGGTTCTACTGGGACTGCTGGCGGGCGTCACGGTATAGTCGTGCCATCAAACTCAGCCAAATAAACATACCGGCGGTTCTTTCGGAAAGGTGTCATTGTCTTCTTTCTCCTCGTCCGCATTTTCGGAGGCAGTTGCTGGAGTGGTGCCCGAAGCTTTTGCTTTGGCTTTGACCTCAGGCGGTTGTCTCGGGGGTTTGGCTTGAGGAATACCACACGCCTCTTTCTCACCCTTACAATGATGACACGGACACAACAGAACGAATGAAGATATGCCTATTAACTATCAAATCAAATCAAATCCACACTGAGTTTTCATGTTTAAAACACACACACACACACACACACACACACACACACACACACACACACACACACACACACACACACACACACACACACACACACACACACACACACACACACACACACACACACACACACACACACACACACACACACACACACACACACACACACACACACACACACACACACACACACACACACACACACACACACACACACACACACACACACACACACACACACACACACACACACACACACAATGATGGGAGAATATGTAGGGCCCTATTTTGGTACCCAGCATAAGTCTGGCACAAAAGTCTAACTGTGCTCATGTGCTTTCTTTTGGGGGCATTTTTGTAGATGGGAGCAGGTAAGAACGGGCGTTTGCACCGTTGTGGGAGCGAACACAACAATTACTCACGGGCCAATGAAAGTGACGCGAGCATAGTCTTGACATTGTGGAAGAAAGAAATCGACTCACTGGAGTCCATCCAGGAGATGGAAGAGAAATACGATGGGCCCCACCACACAAATCGACGGCGTGTAGAATCTTTCCACCCGCACTTTGAGCAAATATACCTAAATCACGCGCCGGCGCCACAACTTTGACAAACTTTTAGCCGGTGGAAGATCTCGCCTATTTTCCGTCATCAAATGAAGTGAATTGTTTCCAAATGGCATTGCCCCATTGGATGTGAGAATCGGGGATCATTCCATTCAAAAAAATCATAATAAATAACGAAAAGAGAGGACACACACAGAGAAACAAGCCCGGCGTCCACCCACCTGTTGCGCACCAGATTCCTTGCTGCTGGTGGAGACCGGCTCTCCAGTCCTGGCAGCGGCGGTGAGGCCGACGGTCGCCGCGTGGCACCTGAGAATGTCACAAACAATCGGACAATGCGGGTGAGGGTTTTGGTGACGCCGCAGGGGTCATCGACGGTGAGCGACACCTCCTCGGGCGCGCCGGAGGGGACTGGCCACTCCGATCGGGACTCTGTTTCTTTTCCACACTGGCGCGTCGAGGTTTTTCCATCGGTGGACGCTTGGCCGATGGAGAAGTGGATGGCGGCAGTTCCGGTCGTGCTGCAGAAGCAATCCAGAGCAGATTTCACGGCTGAGATATTCGATGCTGTGTTCAAAGACGTCGGGCTTTTCCATTGTATTGTAGCTTCATACGGCTGTAACCGCAAGATGAATTGTGTGTTTCAAGACCGGACATTGAAAAAAACATTCGAATAGCCCCCAAAAGTCTGGATACCCATCGTTTTAGAGCTATTGTCATCATTTTTTTTTTTTTTGTCGCGCAACACCCAAAATAAAACCATGACAGAACAAAGACATGGTTGGGCCCAAAGGTAAAACTCAAATAAATATACTAAGATCCGGTTATATGGCCCGGGGGCTTCTGCCGGCAGAAATTCCCTTTGTCATTTTGCCATTCGGGGTTTTGGTCCTGAGGTCCGGCCACAAAAGCTGCGCTAAAGAACGGCAAGATGTCACGGCTGCTATGCGAGTGTAACGTAGCCTTGCGTCTTTGACTCTCTGCGCGCACAGTTGTCATCCAAAACCCCAGGCTGACAGCCCAGGGTTTTGGGAAACTGAAAACAAGACCACCGCGAATCAATCAAATGAATCGACTGAGCTCACGCGCGTGTACGCCGCGTTTCTTATGCCACATTCGTATTTGCGCTACTTGAGGCGACGCGCCGATGACGTTCACCGAAATCGGAGTCAACCTGGCAGCGGGTCCGGAGGCGGCTCCGTGTCTGGCTTGCGAGGACGGGGACGGATGTCTCCGGAAGCCAAATCCGAGTGAGCCGCGTTGGGATCCGACCCATCCAGATGAGGAACAGAGTCCGTCGGATCGGCCCGGGCTTCCTGCGGGACCCGGCGGAAATGTTGGCCGGCGTTCGAGGAGCGCTTTGCTCGACGGCTGCTCGGCTGGCTTACACTGCTGGCGTCTGGACTCCGACGTCCTTCTGGAGATTCTCCTTGGGTATTCTGTCAAAGAGTCGCACTGAGTTCAGGGTCGTCATTAGAGACCATTTTGTGATGCGCGTGATCGCAGACACAAAGAGCCATTACAGTGAACGGATCGATGGAGAATAGTTTTCAAATGCGCAACGGAGTTGTGATGTGCCGATGCCATTTTTGAAGAAAACTATCCCTCTCCCCAAAAACATGGGCCGGTCTGTTGGTAAATGACATCCAGGATCGGAAAACATTTTGACATATTTCATCACAAAGCGACAGCAACAACTTCCAAACAGTGCCGCGAGCAAGTGTTCACTCTGGATTTTAGTGGTAGCCTGACAACCCGTTAAACGCAGAATTTGCCCGACAAAACAGCTCACGGAAAGCTCACCCCCAAAAAGAATCATCAGAGAATATTTGAGAATAGCCCGCTCTTCTCGGGAACTGTCATGCTCACCTCAAGAGGCTTGGCCGTGGGTTTCCCAGAGCTTTGCACTTGGCTTGCCGCGTGAGTCCCCCGAGTTCCTTCTGGCGCGCTCGATCTGCGCCGGTGGGCCTGGATCACGGCGGCTTGAGTCGTCTTAACTCTCCGCGCTGCGGCTGGCGAAGCCGAGGCTGCGTCGCTGAGCTCGGGCTGAGCGAAAGCAGACGACGGAATGGACTGAGGGCCTCCTACTGAGGATCGAGGCTGCGGTTGCGGCGAGGACCGAGGATTCCGGGTCAACGGGGGACCTCGGTCCGCTTCGGAGACTTTGGGAGATTCCACCTGGGTGCCTTTGGTCGGGGAACTCGATTCGGAGACGCATCTGTTGTGAAGCACAGACGTATAGCGGCGCGACTTCGCGTCTTGTGCTCACATCGTATGACTTTGGACTGTCGTCGCAGCAAAACTAACGCCAAAACAGCGCCGTACCTGCGCAGGGAGCCGAGCGCTTCGGTGAGGGCTTTGACTCTTTTTAACATGCAGTCCATTTTATGAGGCTCTTCCTTCAGAAAGCGAACTGCATCCATCTCCAGCCTGAGCACGTAGCGCATCTTTACCTGCAGTTCTGGAAAGTCCCCTGAGGGAGAGGGGTAGGCAGGGGAACCAAATAAACCATCATCACAACCTGCATCGATACTATTTGGCTCCTGTGTCCCATGAGCATTTCACAGACGCAGATGCAAGAATATTAAGCGTACGAGGAAAGGCCCCTTTTCACACTGCACTTGGGACAGCCTCATTCCGAAACCTTGCACCTTAGGTGAACTGGATGTTCTCAATTGTCCCTTAGTGCGATTGTGAGCGCGAATGGTTGTTTGTTGGTGATGAATTTCTCCCGGTCTTGTATGGACACGAGAGCTCTGAATCTCGCTATTTGTAAGGTGAGAGAGCGCCCGATTTAGTTATGGCCTTCATGTGACTGGTTCAGAAGAAACCAGGGTCGTCTCCCAATTCTTCCCCACGGTTGTGTACATCCCTGCGATCGGCTGTCGAGCGGTCCCAAGTGCAGTCTGCTTTTGCCCCAAAATAGCTGGAATAGGCTGCAGCCACCGTGGACCCTGGGTCCAACGGGATAAGCTGTTAAATAAAAAGAAATCAATCGATCAATTAATCAAAGATGGATAGACGTCCAATCAGTGACCTTTAAGGATGGCCAGAGTCTCTCCAACTCTGCGCAGGTTCACCGCTCCCTCTTCCACATCACTCAGCGTGATCCGCAACTGGCCTGGGAGAGACACGGGGGTGCCTTGTAAACGGCTCACGTAGGCCTCCAGTTCACTGAGAGAAGGAGAGAAAGAAGAGTTTGGGAAGTTGAGCGCACCCTGCCCGCTCACCCTCCGCCTGCGACTCGACAACTGCCGGATTGCTCGCCAAACTACGGCTGGACAATTCACCCGACCTTTGACTCAAGCAACTTGCCAAAGCATCCATCAGTTGGCATCCAGCTCCCATGTTTTTCACGGTTTGAGTGCAAGTGGAAAAGGAAGCTCCAAGTCAAAGACGGGAGGTTGCGTTTCACCCAAAACCTGCCGTAAGGGCGTGTCTGGGAACAAACCATTCCGTTTCACTGGGGCTATGCATAACGGAGCCGGAATTGCTTATCATCCGCGGGAAAATGCCGACCGGTCTGCAACTTGGGTGGTGGCTTCTGTTTCTTCACTGGCCTGCCACTCATCAACCGTACGCTTGACAAATGTTCTCGCGCTTGAGCAATCGACGAGATATCACCTGAGCTGTCTGAGTATTTTCTCTTCTGCAGCCAGGTAGTCAATCCTCTCCTCGTCTATCTCGGCTCTTCGTCCGCGTGGCCCCTCCTCAGACGGAACCGGGCGATCGTTCAGCAACAGCAGCAGCTCCTGACCAGCCATGCGCAACATGGACTTCATGGTTTGCTGGTGTGCCGTCTGCCGGACAACAGTGACGGACGGGTTTATGCTGAGGCCTGCGGCCATGCCACCCCCCCACCTCCCTCCCTCCCCAGGATGGACAGTCACCTGTAAATGTCTGAGTTGATTTAATTGCTGCCGCAGTTCAGACACACTGCTTTTAACTTGGACCAAGCGCCGCTGCAGGCCACTTTCAGCGGTCGTGGCCTGAAGAGCTCTGGAGGCAGACCTGATCACCTCGTCCGCAGCACTTGGCACCTCCGGCAGAACTGCAGACAATAGTTCAAATATGTTCAATGGCGTTTGCTAAAAGGCACGATACAAGTGACAGCCCGTATTCAGTGAATATAGCGATGTATGACGGCGCGGTGGGATGACTGGTGAGCACGTCGACCTCGCAGTGCAATTCCAGCTCCGGCCTCCCTGTGTGAAGTTTGCATGTTCTCCCCGGTTCTGCGTGGGTTTTCTCCGGGTACTCCGGTTTCCTCCCACATTCCAAAAACATGCAAGGCAGGCTGATTGAACACTCAAAATTATCCCTAGGTGTGAGTGCGAGCGCGGATCGTTGTTCGTCTCTGTGTGCCCTGCGATTGGCTGGTAACCGATTCAGGGTGACCGTCAATGCTACACTTTATTTTGAAAGTCAACCCAATCAAAGTTTGACCGCTATCAGGCAATGGATTGCGGTCCATCTTCAAGGTTTGACCGTCATGAGGATGAAGTAGATCACAAAATCAAAAACTCACCTTGGTGACTTTTTCCAGCGCTGCCACTGCAAAGGCACATAGAGCGAGTTAATATCGGAAAATTACGGAACTCAGATTTACTTGCCCCCTCATTTCCAGGCAAAAAGATGCGACTTTGGAATGACTCCGATGTTTACCGAGTGTCTGAGGCAAGAGCCTTGTGGAATGGCCAAATAATCATAGTACACAATATACAGACCTGATCAGGTCTTTGTCTCTTGGAATATTTCCTCCCACAGACAAGGCGTGGTGGACCAGCCCTGCTAGACTGGCGATTTGCTCCTCCATGGCTTTCAATCTCTCACTGAAAAACAGTATTTATAGAAATGCACGTTACTTTCGTTTTCTTGTTTGTTGTTGTTGTTGAGTTTTTTTTCCCCAAGGTAATTCAACTTTGTAAGTATAACAAATGGAATGAAATGGACTATTGAGCGATCCGTCTCTCTTGATCTGCCTTCACCTCTGAGCATCAAAGGCAGTCCTGGGACCCGGAATCAGCATTTCTGGGTGTCTCAGGGGGCTGTCCAAAAACACAGACGAAGTGGAAGATGACGAAGCGCTCCCCCTGCTTCTGTTGACCATCTCCACACTCGCTCCACTACTTTCCCGCCGCAAGGATCGCCGAATCGGGGACATCCGCTCAGGTGAGATCAGGCCCACGCCACCGATGATCTGTCCCTCATTCATTCCAACTTCATATAACCTGTGCGGGTAGGGGGGCGGGGGCAATAGTCGAGAGCATCTTTTCGAGGGTCTCTCATCACACTGTCGTAATCCTCTTGGCTCGTCAAAAGCGTCGAAGCAGATTCAACACGTCGGCGTTCCCTCTTTGTCTGAGCATTGATGAACGAGTACCTAATCGGCAAACGGCTCGAGTCTGCATACCTGTGCGGGGATTGCGCATGGCGCTCCATGATGTCCCCGTAGCCCATCAGAGGCTTGATGGAGGCACGGTACTGCGGCAAGCCCCCGGGAATCCCGCCCACTCCACCGTCTCCCATCTCGGCGGCACGGGACAGGGAACCGCTACACCGGGAAGAGGCAAAGGCGCCCCTCCCTCCGTCCTGCGGTGAGGCGCAGCGGTAGAGGTCCGGGTGGCGCGCTCCTCCCTCCCCGTGGACCACCAGGGCCACGCTCTGGCAGCTGCCACCGTCTTCATCTAAGGCACACATCGATAGACTCGGAAATGTCTGACTGTGGTCAGAAGATTCCATGACGTGGGGTCCCTCAAGTGTCAATCCTTGGACCCCTTTTGCTCAGTCCGTATGGTCCCCTTGAGTTAATTGATTCAGAGCACCAGTGTTGGCCATCAAGGCTCTGCAGATGATGCACTGTCAGTGAATGCGTGTTGTGTCACTGTTTAAAGCAAACCAACAACTGGATGAATGATTTTTTTTTCTTTCACTCAATCAAAACAAACCTCATTGAATTATTTTGGTCGATCAAGAAAAGAGGGTTGCTGTGAGAAGACAACAAAGACCAAGTCTGAAATCTTGGGGTGCCGATAGACTCGCAGCTGACTTTCAGACGTCCTGTCAAAACGATCATGAAAAAAAGAAACCAAAAAACCCAAGACAAGAAATGGAAATTTGGATTCAAGTAGGTCGCATGTTTTCAATTATGGGTGTGTGTGTGTGTGTGTGTGTGTGTGTGTGTGTGTGTGTGTGTGTGCGTTTATCGGTTTCTTAATTTTACCAGGCTTGACATCTCTCCTCTCTAGTATGGCGCTACTGCTGGTGCACAAACTGCTGGAACGTCCTGCGCACGTTAGCCGGTCTCGGGGCAGCGCGGCGTTGCCCGCATCCGTCCGTGCCACTGAACCTTGCGCGCGCCGCCCGCCGTAGGCCACCCTGGATGGAGAGGAGGGCATGGAGCGCACTGTGGGTGGTGACATGGAGCCTTGCAAGCCGTGGAGGGGGCCGCGACTGGACGACGACAGTCTGTGGACTGGACTGTGGCTACCGTAGAGGACTTCTTTGGAGATCTGCCAAAACAAATCCGGTCATAGTCAATAACGAGCTACAATATATTTTGCACCACCCGAATAGTATAGAATAAACGGGCTGTTGTGGCCGCTGGGAACACATGACTGGATTCCCCTTTTTTTTTCTTTCTCCAAAACCAACACTTCAAATGTGGTACAGTACTGAAAAGCTGCTCTAGCAAGTCCTCCTCAAATCCTGGAAATAATTTCATTATGTTAGCTTGGCCATAGCGAAGTGATTCATCTCTTTTTGCTCTATTAATCTTGTTCATGGCGTTTCAACATCGCTGTACAAATTGTAAGCCAACAGCGCATAATAAGTGAAGTGAGCCGATTTCATTTGGCACTTGCTCCTTGCTATCCATTTCAACATGAAGTGAGAAGACAGGAGCTCAAAGCTGGAAAAAAAACCCCAATCATCTGTCAAATTAGTTGCAGGATTTCAATTTTGTGTCGGTGAAATTTTGTTTACTACTTCCATTGGTAATATTTAACAATCTATGGCCATGTGAAAATAAGAAGAATGTACGGGATTTCAAGGGTGAACCAAGGACCCCGAAGAGTGCAATGGAACCTCCCGTCGTGAACTTAGGTGAGCCACTTTTGACCTTGAAAGGTTCGTCAATGCTCAGGGTAATAATATTTCCCAGCCTATGGCTTGACTCACCCTTCCTTCTGTGTTGGTCGCCCCAGTGGGGTGGTTGAACACATGTGATGGATCTTTGTGATAAACTTTCAGGCAGGAGTGGCTTGTAATATTTCTGAAAGCAGACAACACACGACGTGGGCACGCTGTCAGTCGTAAATGGAGCTCAACGTTTCGAATGATTTCCTGCCCCCTCCCCCTCACCTGATGTCCTCCAGGTCAAAGTAAACGTTGCGACGTGTGTCTTTGATGTAAATGGCCATGTTGGGAGACTGAAGCTTCTTCATGGTGAGTTGCTGTGGAAAAGCGGCGACAAAGAGAGCCCGCAGGGTCTCTTCGCTGCTGATCTCCGCAGGCATGCCAATCTGCTTTGTCTGGTCTCCATACTGAAGGTAGAGCACACCTGGATGGGAAACCGCATTCAGAGTCGGCAAAGAACCTCAATTATTGTGACAGTGAGAAGAAAATCCATTTTTGGCCCGGCCGCACTGACTGGATGAATGTGACCCTTCTGAATCGGTGTCTCGACATACCGACGGACTCTCCTGCCTGACTGCTGGACCGTCCAATTGGTAGACTTGATCGGGCCTTACTGCCCCTCGCGAAAGGAACCGTCAGCAGCAACTCTCCGTCAGACATTTTGCCTGCCGCCACCGCACCTTCACAGAGGGTGCTGTCAGGAGGTCGAGGGCTCCCCAACTGGTTGGAACACAGAAGCCGTGAGCGTCCCAGGGACAAAACTCTATTTCTCTTTGAAATTGTGACACAAACAAATACAAAATAATTAAAGAACAATAATCATAACCTGACCATCGACTCGAGCTATTCTCGTGAAACGAGAAACGTGGCTAATATCGTAGAACCTCAACACTTGTGTTCAACTGAGGAAGTGAGACTCTCGAAGGAGGTCTGGAATGGCCCGATTGGGAAGACGTGAGCATGCGTCGCGCCATCGATTCCTCCCATCTGGCACCTTGAATAGCACGCGTGAACGCTATCCAAGCCACAGTCGGGATATTTGCAGCGCTGCTCGGTCGCAGGATGAAGAAAACGCACCTCAAGCCAAATGGCTGCGGCGCCTTGTGAGTGCGCAGCAGCGGCAGGGCGCAGGACAGAGGGGAGCTCCTGACCGAGCTCCACCTGAGCTCCACCGGCCCGGCGCGCGTGACGGCTCGCTGACTTGAAAACTGCATCACGAAAATGGCATTCGCCAAACGTCGGACCCGTTTCATTCTGCGCTACACGGCGCGGCGCACCACCCGTGTAAAATGTGCACGCGTGTCTGCATTCGACCTGAAAATGTGACGCTCTAAATGAAATTCCTGCCAAGACATTTGGTCATCAAATGCATGACAGCTGTCGCATGTGATGACTCAAACGGTGGCGATTGCGTGTTTGGGCTTGGGGCCCACGGTGGGTGCCGTGCTGGTGAAAGTGAGTTGCGTCGCCACTCTGAAACGCTGACGTCGAGCAAAAAAAAAAAAAAAAAAAAAAAAAAAAAAACTTTGTTATAAACCAC